CCCCGCGCTGAGCCGGCAGTCCCACACCCACCCCCCGCCTCCGCGGTCCCCGGCCGTTGGTACCGTCCTAGCGCAACGCCTTCCCCGCGGCCAATCCAAGGGCTCACTCGGCGCGGCCACGCCCCCGCCCGCCGGTGGGCGGGGCCTACCGGACGCGCTCCGGACGGCCCCCTTTAACCTTCCCCTTCCCGGACCGGGCCCGCTTAACTCTATCGGCGCCGGCTCCCGTCTCTGCTCTTCCCTACCGCGCCACTCTGCCCCACGGACATAAACTGGCCTCTCACTTCTCTCTTGCCCTCGCTCGCTTTTGCTTTTTCTTCCCTTCTTTCTCTCTTTTCTCTCCACCCCCCACTACCCATCTTCGCTTTTTCTTTCCTGCTTTTCTTTTTTTTTTTTAGAAAGCAGGATTTACTGAGAGGACAGAAAAGCTCCCACAGTGAGAAGGGGACCCGAAGGGGTGGCCCTTCTTTCCTGCTTTTCATAGGTAGGTAGGTAGAACTGGGGAGTTGTGACTCCCGAGGCCAAGTTCTATTTGTGAGAAGCATTCCCACCCACTTTGGCCCTCTTAATCTGCCTTGACTTCTGCTCCGGGTTCTGCCTGTCTAAATGTATCCTCCTATGAGGCCCGCCGTCCTGCACTGAGCGCAGATGGCTCTTCCTTCTGACAGGAACAGAGTTCCCTGCTTCATATTTTCAGTGGCATTTTAGCAAAAGTGTGAATCGTTTACTGGAATATTCGTTGTTTTACATCCATCTTTTTGCTAAGGATGGGGAAGGTCTCAAACTCCTGTCCTCATGAAGACAAGTCAGTTGTCTGGGTCTGCAATGCACCCAGTAGCACCCCATAAATGGTTTGAATGAAAGATCTCCTTCCCTTTCCTTAAGTAGTTCACTTTCCAGTGACTTTATGCAGAGCATCCACCGTATCTATCCATTTATTCACCATCTAATAAGCTTGGACTCAGTGTGCCTGACCCTGAAATACAATGCACCATGGGGTAAGATGAAAAACTGAGCTGATACTTTTTTTCAGGACAAAGAGTTCATTGAATCAGCAAAGTTTAGTGGACAGAACTCTTCCTCACCAGCTGTATAATAAGGATGTGCCGTTTAACTCCTGCGAGCATCGGTCTCCTTAGCTGGAACATGGACATTTATCTTAGTACCTACTTTACAGTGTTATTGTGAAGATTAAATTAGGAAATGTGTGGGGAAAGTACTCGAAAATTATTATTATTATTATTATTATTTTTTTGAGTTGGAGTCTCACTCTGTCGCCCAGACTGGAGTGCAGTGGCCGCTCCCGTCCACCGCAGCCTCGACCTACTGGGCTCTGGCGATCCTTCCACCTCAGCCTTCTAAGTAGCTGGAATTACAGGCACGCGCTATCATGCCCGGCTAATTTTTTGATTTATTGTAGAGATGAGGTCTCGCTGCCCAGGCGGGTCTCAAACCCGCGGGCTCAGGCAATCCACTCACCTCAGCCTCCCAAAGGTGCGGGATTACAGGCTGAGCCACCGAGCCCAGCTTCGAAAATTATTGAGTAAAATAAGTTATTATTCCTGTGTGTATTTACTGAGTACTTACTATTAGAAGAGCCCAGAGAAAGAGTTGGTTCTACACCCTACCCCAGACAATGTACAAGGGGGGACCCCCCTAAAGCCTGAATTTATAAAAAATTGTGTATTTATTCTTACATGTTTAAACTTCAGTCACCTTCAAATTACTCTCCATATGATGCAATACACCTATCGAAATGCTTTTTTCATTCAAAATAGTTTTTGAATTCGTCAGTTTTGATAGCTTTTAGTGCTTCTGCTGTTTTATTTCACCTCTTCCACATCAGCAAAACATTTCCCTCTGAGGATTTTTTCATTGGGGAAGCAAAAAAAGTCACTTGGGGTGAGATTGGGTGAATAGGAAGGGTGGGGCATGGGGGGTCATGCCATTTTTTGGTCAAAAACTGCTGAACGTTTGCGCAGTGTGGGCAGGTGCATTGTCATGGTGGAAGAACCAGTCACCTGTTTGCCACAACTCCGGACATTTTTTCTGCAAATCCTGATGCAAGCTTCTCAATACTTCCAGATAAAAACTTTGACCACTTGACTGGGCTCAGTGGCTCAGCCTGTAATTCCAGCACTTTGGGAGGCTGAGGCAAGTGGATTGCCTGAGCCGCGGGTTCCAGAACAGCCTGAGCAACTTGGCGAGACCTCGTTTCTACAATAAATTTTTTAAAAAATTAGTCAGGCATGGTAGCACCCACCTGTAGTTCCAGCTACTTAGAAGGCTGAGGTGGAATGATCGCCGGAGACTAGCAGGTCAACACTGGGGTAGCCGTAGTGTGCCACTGCCCTCCAGCCTGGGCAACAGAGTGAGACTCCAACTAAAAAAAAACAAAAGCAAAAACTTTGACCATTTGATCCAGAGAAACAAATTCCGAGTGTACTACAAGGGGCCTGCCCTCCAAAAAGATAATTCCTGGGTTTTTTGGGTCCCCCCTTGTAGTTAGGGAGCCAGCATTAATCACTGCAAGGAGTGTACAGTCAAATGCAGAAGACATTGTATAAGCCTTTTACTGAATGTTGTTGGAAAGAGTTGGAGGTTATTTTCTGACCAGGAATATGTAATTCTGGGGGAAATGAGCTGCATGATAATGAAAATCTACCTTATATCTATACACAGAACATTGGTCAGCCTGCAGTCAGCTAATCTGAATCTGTTCACTACATCAGGAGATCATAATGCAAAATTCCTCTAAGACACTTTACTCTAAAGGAGGCTCCTTTCTTGCCTGTAACTCTGACAAGGACAGTGAGGGTGAACACTCCAACTGTCACTGCTCAGAAGAAGGTCAGCTTATCCTGCAACCTCAGCTTCCTGGACAGATGATTCCTTCTGTCTTTAAGCACTTTTTGGGGGGTTGGGGCAGGTCATGGCTTCTCTAGGCAACCCAGTCCTATACTTAATTTCACATCCATCTATCCATCCCACATGGTGCAGGACACAACACACTTCCTCCTCCTGTGGAGAGTCATAGGTTTGGGGCCACTGTGTCAAAGGTTCTTAAACAGCAAAACTGTCCTGCTTCCCTGTCCCCATCCCACCCACCCCCACCCCTGTTTTCCCTTCACCAGGCTCTTCCTGAATGTGTGCACAGCACCAGCACTGTGCCTGATACTCTATGACGTCAGTGTTGGCCCCCTCCTCCTGAAATGGGTTCTTTCCCAACCAATCGACAGTCAATGAATGTATTCTAAGTACTGTGAGGCATGCAATCACTTCAGAAGGGAGTTTGCATGACTAGCACAGAGGAAGCAGCTGCAAGGAACAGGGACACTTAAATTATGCAGCACAGATTCTATGATCTCTGAAAAATTAGAGTCCAGGAAGAAAGTGTGGGCTGGTATTGAGGTGAGCAAAACATGGGTGGGAGAAGAGAGGAACAGTGCTGTGTGAACTTACAATAGATATTGCATGACAGGAAAACTGTTCATTCATTTATTCATTCATTCATTTAATGAATGCCTACCAAGTGCAAGCCACTGAGCTACCAGAGATGAAAGAGGGTGGTCCCCACCTATGAGAAGCTGACAAGAGCCCCCGTGGAGGAGTTCTGAGCACTTTGTCAAGACTCCTGCAATGCTCCTTTTTTTCTTTTTGGTATGTTGCTCAGTCTGGTCTCAAACTCCTGTTCTCAAGCAATTCTCCCATCTTGACCTCACAAAGTCCTGGAATTACAGGCACAGGCCACTGCGCCCAGCCCCATGCCATGGTCCTTTAACCAGTGTGATGGATTGTGGCTCTAGGTGTCTTTGTCTAACCTCTTTTTTGTGTCTTTCTTCTGTGTTCCCAAACTGCTAGACTCTTAAAGACAGAACTTATTTCCCACTTGTGGAGTGCCTCATGCAAACTACCTTCTCCAGACTGCTGTGTTTAAGCTCATTCAACCAGAGCAGGAATTTGTCCCCCTCTAGCCAAGGGTGGATCTGAGGATGTCCACATCCTCAGCAGAGGAATCTTGGTTATTAGCCCCAGAATGGAACCCTGTCAGAGGCTTGTCCATGGCCTGCAGACTCCAGTGGGAATTCCTCCACCTGGGATTGACAGTCCCAGACCACCTGTCTGGGCCCACTTTCTGCAAATTCCTTATCCCAAAAGGGCTCACTACTTTTCTTGTCCTGCCTCCACGGATGTGATCACACTGGTTCTTCCTCCAGGTCCACCTGCACTTCCACTTGTAAAAGTGTTATAGATCTCTCAATGCCACTTGTCCCAGAAGCCTTTCGCAGCCTTGCCAACAGTACATGCTTCTTCAGCTTCTGAGAACCAGCACTGAATCTGCCCCCGTCTTGTGGTATGGTTTGTACTGAAGTCTTTGGGGATCTGTCTGACCCATTCCCCTGATCATACTGACATCTGTGTCTTCTGTAGCATGAATGCTGTACATGGCCCGGGGTAGAGACTCAATGCTTGACAAAGAAGTTTGATGGGAACAGGTCCTGTGGGGGGCAGGGTGGGCCTGGCGAATCCTTCATCATTGCAAGCATTTTCCTTAAACTGTTTCAGAAGTTCCAAGTTTCTGCCAATTTGTCAAGTCCCATGACTCCAGTAACAGTCCAGGAATCCCAAGGTATAAAGGGAGTATTTGTCATAAAGTGTTTGCATACATGAGGGAGGGAGGGAGGGAGAGTTTCTTTTAACCCAGGTAATACATCCACAAGGATGAATCTCCCTGATATTAAGTTTATTCCACATGTAGCAAGTTGAGAAGCACTTGAAGGAAGCTCACGCTGTTCCAAGGTGCTAACAGCTGGGGGAGAGGGTGACAGGGATGGCTGGTGTGTGAAGGAGCACACACACAATGCTCTGTCCCTGCAGGAGCACATGCTCTGTCTCAGCTGGCCAGGGCAGATTTGTTCTTGGCTTCAGGCTCCCTGTGGACAGCTGCTCCTGCATTTCTTTCCCAATAAGGCAAACACCTTTCTTTCATTTTGCTACCAGCTCTGCAGAGCTACTCCCAACCTCCCCTTGCTTATAGCAATGGACTATGCTCATTAACCCTTCACATGGCACCTCTGCCATTGCCATCTATTGCAAGTCACACATGTTCAAGGGACA